CCCCCCATCCTGCCCCCCCGTCCGCTGCCGCCGGTCCTCTACTCCCGCTCCACTCTCTGACGTGAGTGATGAACTGCGGAGCTCACCCGCCGCAGCAGCAGCTGCCCAGGCGCCGGCCTAGAGCCACAGAGGGAGGGGGGAGGGGGCAGCTGCTCTAGGACTATGATGAACGAAGTGTAATAGCCTACGCCGCGGTGCGATCAGCCTTCACTGCTCTTCTTCGTGTACCGTACCATCGTGTTTGCATGCCATATGCTTGTCTTGTTCGGAACCGTTTTCGCTTTACTTTTGTCTCTGTCTCGGTGTTTGTGTCTGTGTTTGTGTGCTGCTGCTGGCTGTGGTGCGGTAATAACACAGGCGAGGGCATTGGGAAGACTGATGTGGCACTCGCATGTGGGAAGAGGGGAGAGGTAAGTAAAGTAAGCTGGTTAAGGCACTCGTGCACGTCCTGTGGAGAAGATTCTTCGGGGACTCTCATTCTTTGTTTATCATTTACTTCGACTTTAAATGTGACACATGCACATGCCGTGACGTTATGATTCTTGAATTCTAATTTACATTTAGAGAATGCTCGCAAATCTTGTCATGTTTAGAACGCATTAAATACAATACAGATATTACATGTTGACCTAAAAATGTATCGTACCGGCTGTTTGCCTACTCGCACTGGTGCGTGCAAAGAAAATGCCGTTACAGTAGAGGGTTTTGAGCCCTTCGTGTTTTTTGTGTCCAACCGTGAGTTGCCACTTTCAAAAAAAGTGCCGCGCTCTCTACTAAAAATGACACAATTTGCGAGCCCCTTCTATATCTATTACAGTGGTCTAAGACAGTGTGTGCGTTGCCGCAGGTCCCCATCGGCGACCTCAGCGAGTGGGTGTGCAAGCGACTGGGTCCGCGCTGGGGCAACGCCGTAGTGTGGTTCTCCGTGTGCGTGGGCCAGCCGCTCTCCGTCCTGCTGTACGTCCGCGACTACGTGGTGGCCTGCGACGGGCACGCGGCCCTCGCCGTCCTCGGAGATTCGGCCTTCGCTACCTCATGAGTGCTCATCATTGTGATTTTCAGAACTCAACTTCTGTTGTTTCCATTTACTTAACAGGGTAAAATGTTTGTTTTTTTATATCGAAATGTTACATTAATTTTATTTTTGCGTGTTGTATTGGTCCGATGTCGGTCCTAAAAGTTGTAATTTATTCTATGTTTTTTTATATATATACGGCGTACAACGCTGTTGTGTTGTGAAGTCATTTCTAGTTTATATGTTATGTTTGGTTCGTCGCGGGTTTTCGGGGGACCAATCTTTGTTAATGTTGTTGGCCACAGATTTTTGTTGTCAGTATTATTGTGTTTACTTAAGTCCGACCGTCACACAATCATTCCACATTCCTTTGTGCTTCATTCAGCCGCCACATCATTCCACCGAAATATATAAAATAAAATGAACCAGCGTGTAATGTTGAATTGAAATATGGTAACAATAAAAATCGTGGAGCATCCCATCTTCTCTTTGTTCTTGTCCCGCCGAGGCGCCGTCCTCCTGCCGCCGCCCTCCCTCGCATCGCTCCGACGGAGCTGTTCACTCGCTGCTCGCTGAAATGAAAAATTTGTTGTTGGCGTTATTTCTGTGACCGGGTGGAGGAAAAAAGGGGGAAAGGGAGGGGGAGTCCGAGCAGCAAACAAAAGCGCCGCCGCCGCCGCGATGCTGTCTTTTATTCGCCTGTCCTTTTTTTACGCCCAGTGTCATATTTATGTCGCCCATTCATTGGCTGGCCGGCAATATTCGTCGCCGATATAAAACCGAAGCGCGGCGCTTGACAAATACCCCCCGCGCGCCTCGTCGCCGTTAGTGGGTGTGACAGAGACAGAGGAGGGGCTCGGCGGGTGGGAGAGTGAGAGCCAGTGGCCATTTACACACACAAACGGTATTGCAAGCTAGGGCTCTTATCTGGGCGAGTATCACGGCATGGGGGCGACTCTCTGCAGCTCGCAACCCGTTCGCTTTGGTGACAGCGTCTGTTGACTCGTGAGGGTAACTTGGGGAGAGGGGAGAGGGGGGGG